GTTGGAACCTAAGACCCAATGTGATAGTATTAAGAAGGGTCTGTAGGAGGTGATCAGACTATGAGGGCTCTGTCCTTATGAGTGGAATTAATGCCCTTATAAAAAGGCTTATGGGAGTGAGCTATTAGGCTCCTTTTGCCCTTCCACTCTTTGTCATATGAAGACACAGCAAGAAGGCCCTCACCAGACACCCAAATGCCAATGCTTTAATCTTGGGCTTTGCATCATTTAGAACTGTGAGAAATAAATTGCTATTGTTTATAAATTACCCAGTCTCAGGTATTTTGTTATAGCAGAGGAATGGACCAAGACAGATTTTTTGTGAAGATTCCCTCTTCAGGGTCAAGGTACTCACCTTCCTGGGGCTATGAATATGGCTGCTGACAGTTCACAGCTGCCTCTTTTGATGGGTATTGTCCTAGGCTGTGGGGAACTACTTTCCCTCAGGCTATGCCCTCTGGAGGGTAGCCTGAAGCCAAATAATGACTGATGAGGGGCATAAGTCTGTTTCATTTACTCCACTTGAGACAACTCTGAAGGGACAGTCCAAATCCTGAAGTCTCTGAAGGGTTGACGGAGGCCTCCTTTGCCACTGTACTGCAGTTCAGCATTTCATTCTGCCCCATCCTGTTTCCTTCACTTTCCTACAGGTGTCTCTTGTAAGAGCAACTCCCCCTTACTCCTTCCAAAAAAATAAACTAACTCTGTTTGCATCTCTTCATCTCAAAATCTGTTTCCAGGAAACTCAGTTTAAAAGAGAATATAAAGTAGTCTCTTTTTTACCAAGGCAAGATCATTAGCAGTGTTTGAGGTAGGGGAGGAAAAGCAGAACAAGGCTCTGATTCATTTTTATGTCTTATACTTCCCCACATGCGAGCAAGGCTAGGACATACTCTGACCCTCTGGCTCTTCATGTCTGCTCACTCCCATTGCCTTTCTTTCCCTATATTTTTCCCAAAGATCAAAGTGACAACTGAGTAAAGGGCATGGTCAAAACTGAGTTTCAGCAACAGCATTGGGTCAAAGCATGAGAAACATATCCCCAAATGAAAAAGATATCAATGGCACAATATGGTAGCCCATACATGTATTGACACCACCAGAGTACTGTCTTGTCTTTACTTTTCCTGACTCTCCAGGGTTGATCTGCATGGGTAGAGATGCAGAGCAGTTCTGCCATTGACATTAGTAGCTTCATCTTTTAATGCAATCATTGCCTTCATTTTCTTTCTTCTTCCTCAGGGAAATTCCACCCTTCTAGCCTTTATATTTATGACCCCATGCTGGTGTCTGTGGGTCCCTGCTTTCCCAAAACACTCTCTTCACTGCCTTAGACTGGTAGTCTAGTCCTGTCTGGTAGTCTTTTAACACTTTAAAAGATGGGGTGTAGGGAGATCAAATCCTCTTTGTCTTAAAACTTGGGCTTGTCTGCTACACAAAGTCCTGCCCTTGGTAGTGGCAGTCACATAATAGGACAGTAAATTAATGCCTGAACAGATTGTGCAGTTCCAAAGAGTCCACCTTCCCCGGCTTTCCTTTCTCCTGCCTACTGCTTCCTCCATCCTTCTTCACAACTCCCTCCCCTGTGACGCTTTCTTCCAGAGGATGAGTCTGGAGGAGGAGGCAGCATGAAAGGGAGAACTTGCTGCATCAGAGTTTGTGCCAATTGGAGGGAAAGCTCAATCCCTCAGCAGCCTGATGGTCCAGATGGCCCCATAGGCTTTGCAGAGCTCAGAGGCCCCCAGACAACTCCTTGTCTACATTAGCTTAGCATTGCTACTAAAATTGATGTTATACCAAGTCATCCCCCAAGAGCATGGTAAATCACTTGTTAAAAAAAGAGTTCCACAGTTTTGGCACATGAACCTGACAAGGATTTTTTGAGATTTCTAGCATTGCCAGAATTTAATCAAATGATTGTTATTATAATTAATTATAGTATTCTAGTACTACCGTATATTTTTATATAAACTACAAATTGCTGAAAAGAATCACATTGGATCACAGTATTATTAGATTATACATTCATTCAAATTTCACTAATTAAAATGTCAAAAGGAAGTAGACATGGAGTTCAACTAATTCTCACTTTACTAATCCATGAAACAGATACTTCTCATAAATAGCTGGTAATCTTTCCTCAGTTCTCAGGAAAAACGAGTGAATAGCTGCAGTAAACTCTCCTATTACTAGTTCTCCACATTACAATTTTTTTAAAACCTGCAATTTATCTTGAAAGGCATCCTGAAGCAGTAGCACAAGGATTAAATGACCATTTTTAGATAATAATGGTTAACATCTAATCGTTTAATTAAAAAAAGGAGCTTGACCCTTTCCTGGTCACACTTGGAAGTGCTCCCTCTTGGTGTCATCTAGCTTGGGCCACAGAGGGCTGCAGGACAGCTCCGTATCCTCTCTGTCCTACATTCATTCATTCATTCATTCATTCAGGCAGCAATACTGATTAAATACTTATTTTATGCCAAGCATTGTTCCTCAGCTCTTGGGATATATGAGCAAAACAAACAAAAGTACTTGCCCTCATGGAGCTCCATGCAGGGAAAAGAGGCAATAAGCAATAAAAATAATAAATGTTATAAGATGTTGGATGGTAGTAAGATCTATTGGGGGGAAAAAAGTAAGATCAGAAAAATGGGAAGCTAAGGGGAGCTGATTTTAAATGGGGAATTGGGCCTAATTTAGAAGGTAACATTTGAGCAAGGACTTAGCCCATTTTGGTAATGTCTTTATTATTTTTTCATCCATAAATATTATGTTCCTATCATTCTCTTTTTCTTTCCCAGGGCCTTCTACCAGACACATAAGAAACATTATGTATGTATGGGCTTAAAACTACACAGACCTTGAGTCAAGGCCAGTTAATTTTTTTATGATAGTATCTCAATTATATCTGGAAAACCTGAGGCCTGGCCTTACTCATGGTAACTGTATGATATGATGATATGATGTAAGATGTGCTACACAAATTTCTGTCTCCTCCTTTCCCAGACTCTTTACTGCCTTAAAATCTACTTCCTGAAATAGTTACATAACTTTCCCATCAGCCAGCCATGCTGCCTGAATTCACCACTGTTAAGATATTCATTACTTTAGATTAAAGCATGGCATTTTTAGTGATTCTCTTTTAAAATTCAAACTTGCCATGGGAATAAGACTTTTAAAAAAATCATTCAAGCTCATGAAAGAAAAAGGCTGCATTTGTGGCATGGCCGGCAGGTTTGTGGAGAGTGGACCCCAGGCTCCCTCTGATGGGCCAGGGGCCAAACTGGAGGACAGGGAGTCCAGGAAGTCCACATGGCAGACCAGGCAAGGACTGGAAGGTCCTAAACTTGACCTGGTATTTTTTACTTACACAAAGAAATATGTTCTATAACTTTCTTGATCAGCTCGCCCTCTTACCTAATTTTATTTTCTCACGGGGATACATATTTTTGACCTCTGATAGATTAGCACACCAAGGAAGGCGTACAGTAGGAGCAGAGTCATCTGCCTCAGCAGGAAAAAGTGTTCTATCTTGAAAATAGTTTAGAATTTCTGGACATAGTGATAATAAACAGAAGACCAACTTTTAGTGATATTTACTACTATTTATAAATATACCGTAGGCATTGCACCGCTTTTCTTATCGGCTTCCAGGACACACCATGGCACCAAGCCCCACCTTGGTCCTCATGGCTCTGAGACATGTATATCTAGAGTTTCCACTATGTACACAGCTACATAAATATTTCCTTCTTCCCCTCCACAAAAATAAAGTCATACTGTATATACTAAGCAACAGATTTTAGACATTTTCCATGTCAACCAATTTAGACCTGTATCCTTTATTTTTATGTGTTACATAATTTATTTGTCTAATTTTGTCTGGATGAATTCTTAAATAGTTTTAATTTCTGGATACTGTAAACAGAGTTTCAAAAACTATTCTTGAATTTGCATCTTTGTACACTTATCCATGTTAACCTTAAAGCACATTCCTAGAGTTAGGTTTGCTATACCAAAAAATACGTGTAATTTTGACATTTACTTCTAAATTTCCCTCCAGAAAGTTTTCAGTCCTTCTTCTATCACCAGCTGAGTATGAAAGTGCCAGCTTCTCTACAGCCTTGCTACCAGTAGGGTTCTCTAGTCTTTTTAATCTCTGATAATCCAAATTAAAATGATCCTATTTTGAAATATTTAACATTTTTAATTTTATATTTTCACCTTTTGTGAATGTGTGGATTTGCCTGCATGAACTGCCTGCTTTGGTCCTTTACCCATTTTTATTATTTTTTTTTTTTACTGCACTGTGGAGCAAATGTTCCTAAAAAGGGAAAAAGATGCCAAGCACAAATTTCTTCTATAGTATAAGACTAGTTAGGAATAGACCTAATATCCATCACATGAGTTTGTAGACTTATTTTTGAAGTTCTGAAATTACATTTAAAAATCTTGTGGCTTCTGTATTTCTATGAATGTATTTCCCTTCCTACAATGTGCTCTCAACACCATTTGGTGATAACATGGCAGGGACTGTTATGTGTGCCTCCAATTCTTATTCTGGTCTTCACAGGTGAGATCTCTTCACTATCTGCTTTGGGAGATGAGGACATGGGCTTTCCTGCCCTCTGTCTTCCTTACCTACCTTTCTTCACTCTCTTTCACTTCCCAACTTTGGTTACACGTACATTTACTTTTATACTTCTTAAGATTGACAATTTCTCTGACTATAAAGGTCTCAGTGACTTCTAAAAATTTTAAATCAATAAACAGTTTAAATTACTATGACTACTTAAGCATTGCTCTTGAGCTAACTGGTTTGGTAGGATCACATTTCTTTCTCTGTGGCACCAATTCCCCTGCTGTTCAGCGAAGAAGGTACTTAGAGATTCTGCTTTTACAGTCCATCTAGTACCTCCAAACATTATTGTGACTACCAGGACTCTTGGTTCCAAACGGTATGAAAAACAACACAAACTTAGAAAAAAATTACTTACTCAAGAAAGTAGATCTGACTTCAGAAGTGGCTGGAGATAGGAAGTCACACAACGTTTGTTGTTAGCATCTGGTCTCGTCATTTGTTCTCTGAGTGATGGCTCTAGTACTTTACTTCTTTATTTTGCTGAAATACACCCTTGAGTTCCTTTCTACAAAAGAATGCTCGGAGTATAAACTCTGATTTATCACACATCTGAAAATCTTTTATTTTGTCCTCATATTTAACAGTGTCTTAGTTAAGTAGATTCTAGTTTGATTAGTATTTTATTTCAGAACTTTGAAAAAATAGATCCATTGTTTTGCAGAATCTGACTGGCAGTGACAAGTGTGTGGTCAGTCCAATTCTTGCTTCTTTCACATGATACTTATTTTTTTTTCTAAGGAAGAATATAAAATTTTATCTTTATAATCAATATCATAGAATTTCACAATTATGTGTTTAGGTATAAGTCTTTTATCATATTTTGTGCTGGATATTTTGTGGGCCCTGAAAAACATATTTTCTTCTACAGTTTGGGGAAATTCCCTTGCATTCATCCTGTAATAACCTCTTCCCCTCTGCCTTCTTTGCCCTTTATTCCTCAAACTTTCTGAGTTTATATTTTATGTCTCTTAACTTTCCATTATATTATCCAACTTTGCCTTTCTGTTCTGAGGGGCTTCCTCGATTTTATTTCACAAAACCTATTTTGATTTAAATAAACTTTGGTGATCATATTTTCAATACCTTAGAGCATATTCATCAAGATTCTTCAGAGAAATGAACTAATGGGAGATAGATAGATAGATAGATAGATAGATAGATAGATAGATAGATAGATAGATGATAGATAGATGTTAGATAGGTAGATAAGAGGAGACTTATTATGGGTTGCCTTATGCAATTATAGAGGTTAAAAGTGGGGAAGGGCCCTGGTGTAAGTTTCAGAGTCAGAAGGTCTGAGAACCAGGATCTTAGAGCAGGACAAGATAGATGTTCCAGCTCAAGAACAGAGAGAGAATCATCTTTCCTTTGCCCTTTTGTTCAATCTAGACCTTCAGTAGATTGGGTGATTTCCACCCACACTGTTAAGGACTGATCTTCTTTTCTCGATACTGATTCAAATGCTAATTTCTTCGAGGAACACCCACAAAGATAAACTCAGAAATAATGTTTTACCTGCTATCTGGGCATTCCTTATCCTGGCAAGTTGACACATAAACTTATCTATTATCCCAGTAAGTTGACACATAAACTTATCTATCATAAGAAGTTTTTTCGAATGTTACATTTTTTAAACTTGTTCTCTAAATTGTGGCAATATTTTGTTGAATCTCACTGAGAATGCTAATTCAAACATTTTAAAAGGCCTCTGTTCCCAGAATTATCTCTATGGTCATTTTCAAAATTTATTCATCTTGCTTAAAAAATTGTTTTTTCTTTCATGTTTTGGGGTTTTGATTCTTTTTCTTTTTTTCTTTTTTAAAAATACTATTCTTGTCTACTGATTCTTATTTTAGTTGCAGATTAAGAATGAGGTGAGACTGGATAGATCCTGGTATACAGTTGGTGGGTTTAAGAATAAAGGTCAGAAAGCCATTAAACTGGAGGACTGGATTGACTTTGGTGCACTGACTCCTATACATGCTCCTAGGATAAATGCTTAGCTGCAGATTTTTTTTTTTTTCACCCAGAGGTGAAGAGTCCATGTATAGATTTCCAAACAGTCCCCTTTTTTCAGCCCCCATCTCCCTTTCTTACCCTCAGTGGTAAATGCCATCTCAAATATGGAACTGTTTCATGCTTCTGCCAGGCAAAATGATTCCTTTCTAGGCGTGGTCCAGGCAGCTGCTATTTCTGTTTTGCTTTATCCATTGATGATACTTCTTCAGTCTCTTCATTGTCATGTCAGTATCCTTTTCGTCCTTTACAATCAGCTTAATGGAGTTTCCAAAGGCAAAGAGATCAATGTATATGTTCAATATGGCATCTTAAACTGGAAATCTCTCCTTCCATTTTATACAGAATTGGGGATATAACTCAGGGCATTTCTCTGCTGCCCTTAATTATTGACATATTTGAGGTGAATTAAGTTCCCGGAAGAACATCCCAAAGGATACCTTAGCCTCTCACTGCTTTGCCAACTATATCTCTAAGGACCTTCACTTCTTTCTTCTATCTCAGCTACTTACTTCTGTGACCATACCTTAGGTCTCGTTGTAACTTGAACTGAAATCTTAAATACAACCTGCAGCTATCTGGTAAAAAATCTCTTTTATTTCCTATCCTACTGCTAGTTACTACTAGGACTCATACTTTGAACTCATCAAAATGTCCAGTTTTTTAGCCCATGTATTTTTTCCTTCCATCTTCAACTCTTCCTAGTTCCAGCTGGATCATACATCCCAATCACTGTACCAATATATACCCTCCTCTGAGAGCCCTAAGCATGGGTCAATCCAATTGTGTTATAATGTGAGACTATCTGGGTTTATCCCATCCCTACCACTCATAAGTTGTGGGACTTCGGGGAAGTTATTTAGATTTTCTGTGCATCCGTGTCCTCATCTGTAAAATGAGGATAATAATAGTATGAATGTTCTGGGGATGAAAGGAGATAGCACATGCAAAGTGCTGAGAAGAAACGTCATGATCAATAAAAGTATTCAATAGACATTAACTAGTAGTAGTAATATTCTTTAACCTGAAAATGCTAGTGAAAAAGCAATATGTGTTAATAAGTTATGTTAAAGTCTATAGGTGCTTAAACATTCTATTTATACTGTTTAAACAGTCTTCTTGTAAGTTAACCACTTCTAAAGAGATGTAGTATTTCCCTGTTTAAATGACAATGAAGCACTGATTTCTCTTCTGAGTATTTGTACCCTCAGCACTCAAAAAAATGGGTTGTGTCTCTGTTCTGTTTCTTTTCTAATCCCATTTTGATAGTTAATCCTTTGGGTCTCCAAGGAGCCCTTGCCCTAATTATGATAGGATAATGAAACACTGACATCTAATTACAACTTTTATGAAGGTAGCAGATACCAATTACAAACTGGGAGTCATGTGGCTTTATATTCTTCCTTATGTAACACTTGTGGTTTTAGAAAAGAGATCAGATTCAAAAAATAGTTTGAGCTATATCATTTCCCACTGATGCTATATTATGCCATTTCTTCCAGATCTATAACTATGTGATAGTTATTTTGAGCTTTGAAGACCTCAGGACTCTTTCTAGCTTGGAACTCAAAAATCTCTTTGTTGATGGGTATTTTGATCAATCCTTTGATTTAAGCAAGTCCCTGGAGGAAGAGCTTTTAACCCAGGCACTGTATAAATAATTATCTGATTACTAGACCCCAATTTAAAGAAAACTCTAAACAAATTAATATTTTGAACACAGTCCTTGTAGAGTGAAATTGTGTTCTTTTGAGATATATGTAACAAGGTACTTTCAGGATGTGAAGATCATTAATATTTTAGCCTTAATTATTTTACCCTCACAACCTTAAGGTGTCCCCCAATAGCAAATTGGTGAAATGTCAATTATAATTTTAAAACATATATATTTATCACTTTGGAATAAAATTTTAGGAAGTATCACAAAGAAGCAATGTAAGATAGCAACACTGGGTCCTGTTAAAATCTTCGGCAAGTTATCCAGTTTTTCTAGGCTGTTTCCTAATCAGCAAAATGAGTTTTGGTATGGATCAAATGAAATAATGCATTAAATCACTTTGTAGAAAACAGTAAACAGTAAATGTTCATTGAATCTGAGGAATCAAATGGGTAGGATGTTAGGAGCTTTTAGGTTTTCTAGAAGCAAATTTTTACTTTAGAGTATAAAATCAGGCTTATGTTTACTGCACTTCTATCATTATTCCCCTTGTAACTTGTCTTTAAAATAATTTGTCATGGCTTTGGTTAATAAACACAGCTCTCTTTCATCTCCCCACCATAAAATAAAAAGATAACATCCTTATGCTCTCAGCGTGGTCTTACCTTCAGACTCTAGAAATACACAGCTGAATGTGTTTTCTGGGAAAACATATAAATTAAAATCATTTTTGGCAGACATACATTGGCTATTAATAAACAGTTCTAGTAAGCTCTCCTCCTTATAATCTAAGGATTTATGTTATAGCTCATTTATCCAGCAGGCTTACCAGAATGCAGTCATATTCCAAAGTCAGTCTTACAAGGTCCCTCTCTGGAAAGAACTCAATTGATGAGCCTCTACTCTCCTAATTGCTGGCCTTACCTTTGTACATGCCAAATCATCATCCTTTCTGCTTTTGTAGCATTTTTATAGACCCAGAATTGCTTTCTGAGAAAAGTCTCAGTCCTAACAAAGGTTACACTTGAACTGAGGATTACATGCATGTGTTATGTGTCCTTTCCAGTCCTCTTCCCAGGTCCATGCAGAAATCACCAACCAGTGAGAACACTCCTTCTACAAAACACAAACTCAGCTTCAGGCTATTTCTGAACAAGAGCTTTAGGAAGCAAAAGGAAGCAAGTATGTAAGAACGGACCTGCCATATTTGTACTAGAATGTAAGTTCCTTAAGGGCACATACTGTGTCTGATTCCTTTTTGTTTTCTCAACAAAAATGTTGATTGGGTGTTAACTAATTGTATAAAGTAGGAATAAGAGTCAGTTTCCTAAATGTTTTCAAAAAGTTAACAAAAGCATTTTCACTTTGACTCTAAAATTTTAAAAAAGCTAAAAAAGATGTTATAATATTTTAAAAATCCAAACTTTATGGGAGTTCTTGTCTGGATGAAAATTAGAACACATTCACATTGTCTCAAACGAACGAACATGTGTAACTCTATAAAAACAATAACTCCCTAAAGCATGAAATCAGATGGAAAAACTCGACATCTTTATTTCTGCAGTCAGTCTCATTTTTCTTAAAACAGTTCAAACTAGTAAGAATTTTCCAGAAGTTACAGCTTGACTCACCCAACCTTCCAAGGAAAAAACAAAGAAACTTAAACAGACATTGTTTCACTATCATCATTTCCCCCCCTTACTAATAGTTGCAACTTAAATGTGTCTTAAAGCACTCCAACTTCTTCATAGTGCCTGTTAAGTAAGTATCCTGTGGACCCCCACACACAGTCATAGAATCCTAAGTGGTGCTCAGACCAGTCACATGTCAGTGCATTCTTAATTGCTAGAGCTAATATGCTCTCAGCATGGTCTGTTAATTACACCCTAATAATCTATTATAGTTTCTTTCTACAATGTAAAGCCTTGGAAATCACCCACTAAAAAGTACCTGTGTACTCTGGGCTTTGGCAGGCTAGGACAGAACTTCTGAGAACACGGTGTGTTCCAGAGAAGATAATCAATCTGAGAGGACTTACAGAGAAACACTTCATTCAGGACCTGGCTGCTGGCTTTTATCTCAGATCTGAGGATTTCACAATCATTTGGAGATACCTACAAGTGTATAGCACACCTTGGATATTACTCTTAATGATTACTTCAGTTTGTAAAGAGGTAACTCCACCAACAGCAAAGGAGAGGGCCCAGCCCCAAGCCACGAGGAACACAGTTCTCTGCCAGTAAGTGCCTAATGACTCATTTTCCTCAACAGAAGTTTCATAAGGCTGGAATTCAGGGAGGGATGTCTGGAGAATGTCTGAAAGGAAGTTCACAAGTCACTGTCCTGCTCTTTGCTGGAGAAACTGTCCCATGGTAGCCAGACAAGTTGACGAAGGCAAACAGCAACATGTTTTGGTAACATTTCCCCATTACCTTTCATGTACAATCCAAGAAAGGTTGCCATGAAGTGTTTTAATCAGGTTGGGAACATTATAAACTTCCAAAAAAGAAAACCATTAGTGGAAAAATTAAGGACACAGTAGATTTAACAACTGTGTTTACGTGGAACCACAAAATCTATCCAAGTGAATTGCATTAAAACAGACAGAACACTCCAAGAAACTGTTGTATGTGTATTTTTTTTTTTAATTCAGTCAACCATTTTACTAATCTGTCAAGATGACCAATTTCTTTGGAATTATGTAGATTTAGCCAAAATGAAATTGTACATAAGATTTACTTCTCTTTTCAGATGCTTTTTTATTTATTTTTAAATCTTTATAATTACTAAATGTTCTCTATCTCAGAAGATATTCTGAGAGGAAAGCAAAAATACCACTCTTGTAAAGCCATTTCCATTCTTCCAAAGGTCTGCTGGTAAATTATTCTTACTGATCTTTCCATCTTTCTAGCCTGTGCATACACACCTAACCCATACTAAATTTCACCAGATGGCATTTTATTTCTTTAAAGTAAAGCAGCCGTGGGTTTAGACAGTTGAATTTTTAAACTTCTGTATTTACTGAAAGTGCATATGGTGCTATATGGACAAAGAAATTGTGCTGAAAGAAAAACATTTCTGTCTGCAATACCTCAGAATCTTCCAGAGGAAAAAAAAGTGCAGTTATATGATGCATTTCTCACAAAATCTTATGTGGCTTCAATGTTCTTCCTCTGTTAAAAAGTAGATATATGTTTAATGTACAGACCTGCAAGTTTCATTATTTCAAATTCATCTTTTAGTGGCAAATAAAAATGTTATACGAAACTCAATGACTTGCTAAAGCGATCTCTCAGTGAATTCTAGAAGAAAATGCAACATAAACCTGTACTTGTAAAAAAGAAAAAATAAAAACCTCTGTATGTCAACGTAAGCAGATGTTGGTGTAGAATTTACAAGGATGAGAAGGCTATAAAACCTCCCCTGAGTCACTCACAGTTCATTTGAGGGCCAAGAACGCCCCCAAAATCTGTTTCTAATTTTACAGAAATCTTTTGAAACTTGGCACGGTATTCAAAAGTCCGTGGAAAGAAAAAAACCTTGTCCTGGCTTCAGCTTCCAACTACAAAGACAGACTTGGTCCTTTTCAACGGTTTTCACAGATCCAGTGACCCACGCTCTGAAGCAGAATTAGCTAACTTTCAAAAACATCTGGAAAAATGAAGGTTAGTATAAGCAACCTCAAGTATCGGTAAAAAAATTAAGGTTCGCTGGATTGAACGTGATCAGAGTTTTCTATTGTTTAAAAGGTGAGGATTTGTACATAAGTATTTACTTCCTGAATGGGTTGGGATTGGAAAATTGTTCAAATATACTGTAGAAACATTTGTCCTTGCAGAGCTGGAAGAATTCCAGCAATTATAGCCGGATCAGTGGAAGACAATCAAAAGCTTCGTGGGGCGAGAGAAATAGGATTTAGGTGTAAACAAAATCTTGCCATTTCTACTATTTAGCAGGAACTATGTGTATGCCTAATTCTCTTTATTTTATGTAGACTTGGGTAAAAATCGTATTTGGAGTTGCCACCTCTGCTGTGCTTGCCTTATTGGTGATGTGCATTGTCTTACGCCCTTCAAGAGGTAAGAACTTTCTCTGATTTGCTCTATCTGCCTAGAATAGCTTGGAAAATGTACTAATGCAAGATCACAAGTGGCTGAACATTTCCTAAGTGCTTATGTTCCAAAGTAAGTCTGTTATTTCTAAGAAGACATATAAGCTCACAGATATGTTGTTGTGCAAGACCAGAAATACTGAGGAATTTAAGGCATGGGTAGGAAGAGATTTACAGTGTTATTTCAGCAATAGAAAAACCTAAGAACTATGCTGCATCACCCCCACAACCCCCAAAAATATATGCTAAATACAAGCTTTGACAGGCCTTTAGAGACAACATTTTTAACTAACATTGCTTTTCATTATTAGGTTTGTCTCGTGGAAAGTAAAAATGAGTAAGAATGGAAAAGTTAAAACAGAATCTATGGACTTTTTTTATTACTAAATAGTCTTTCTAAAAATTTAGGGAGGAAGTTGAGAATACAGATCTCAGGAATAGCTGTATAGAAAAAGCAAAGTTGTTGTTTTAGATGTAGTAGCACTGCACATCAAATTAGAAAACTAAACATTGTTAAGCAAGCATTATGATCAGTCATAAATTGTATCCTTTTACAAAAAAGGCTTAGATTGACATTGATCTCACTTTACTAAAAATTGGAAGGTACTATGGGCTGATATCAGAGCTAGTTTAAATATAAAGTAGGACTATGTTGATAGATAACCCAGTGATATTAGGGGAATAGCTTTTTATGAAAATATTTATGAAGAGAAACTCAAGCTTCTAAAATAGAAAAAAAAAATCCAGTAATAACAGATCTTATGTCTTTGTGTCTAGGAAAAGGGGAAAAATTTGTACTAATAAATACTAAAAGTTTATGATAACAAATGTGGGAAATATCTTGGTTAAAAGTTAACTGATAGTAAAGGAAGATCAATAAAATAATTTCAGCTAAAGAATGTATGAGTCCTGAACGACTATTGCTATTAAAAAGAACATAGAAAAATGTTTTGGAAAATTGAAAATAATCATGAGATTTTCACAGAATTACAAAATAGAATAAATGAATCCATAAGATGAAGTCAGCTTATATCTTCAGTGTTCATTTCAGTCTTTGTTTCTGTTCTCTGCTTGCACAAGATTCTTCTTAGGCAGTTGAGAGGTATGTTGTGCGTGTACATATCTTTCATAAATTTTCATGTTAAAATTATTTTCAGACCCGTCTCTCAACTCAGTGGTCTTGGGGCCACATTTCCCTCATACCAGCAGTTATCAGGTAGTGGATTAGGTCATATAGATCCTTTGAATGTTAATTCATTAAAAATTAGCTCCTGATTTTAAAAGAAACTCAATCTTGAAATTGACACTCTGCACTCTCAGAAATAAATGTTCTTGGAACAAAAGTTTGTTAATTTTATAGGGCACTTGCCTCCATGTCCACAGGGAAGGATAAATTTCACTATGGAATTCAAGCTATAATTTCTAATAAGAAATACGTTATATTTACATATTTACAAATGATGTATAGAGATACACATACACAGATATTTGTGTGATCACATATAATCTCAATCCTACCCTCTTTCCAAGTTTAGTTATGTATAGCTTACATATAAATATATGTTGTAAACTATATACAGTATAAAAGTCCTATGTAATTTATAATACAATTCTCTGTTTTCAACTAATAGGAAAATTCTAAGAATAAAGTGATTTCTTGATAGGGTGAAATAATCAAATTAAACTTGAGTACTCAATGAAATTTGAGTACTCATTCAGAAATAGAAAAATCATAACTAAGGTGAGAACTGCTGTTTTTTGATCCACTATATCATTCTCCTTCTGTTCTAAATTTGCTTAATAACTTCTTAGAATGTCAGTTAAACAGCTTGTGAATGGCACCAGTCATTCCCCTACTTTCCTGAGCAGGACCCGGGCAAGTCAGTGCCACGGGCAGCCCTGAAGTTAGGTGTGGTGGCCTCCTCCTGACTTTCCTCCTTTCTTCTCACATCTCACTCGTCAATCATCTCCCATCTGGAGTGCCAGGTCCAGTCCTCACTCTCACATCTGCCCAGTGCCTATGAGAATAGGATCTGAGATGGCAAGGCAGGAAAGGGAAGGAGGAAGGGGTAAAAAGAACAGAGAATTCAAAGCCAAGTGAACTCCTACTTAGCCTCCTTCTCACACTTCATCAGAAATCCCATTACCTCAGATTTGCCTTAGGTGCCCTCGTATCCTCAGCCCAGAATTTCATGAACCAGTGTATGAACAGTCTTCTGAGAAACTTAAAGCCACACTCAGGAAACATTCATTCACTCATTTACATATTAGTGTATTAGTCCTACTAACTCCCTGCCCATCATCATGCCAGTTGCTGAGGATATGGAGGTGCAGCAGTCTAGAATTTCCTCTGCAAGTTGGGGAGTAAGAATCCGGTGCTTTCTGCACCCAAAGATGCATGGTCAACATCACAGATACCTGAGAAGGATTTCTGTTAGTTCACACCAGGTCTAAAGGAAAAAAAAAGAGAAAGGCTCTTCCATCCCAGGAGAACCAGCCTCAGGATTAAAAGCGTTTAGGAATAATTAAACTGGATTGTAGGAACAAATATGAAATGTAGTAGTGAAATGAGAAAATCCATTTAGCTCACTTACAAAATATTAACTATAAGGAAAAACTTTTTTCGAAACTTGTAAAATATTCCCTTTTTGGTTTTGCCAAAGTGTGAAACACACATGAGTTTCTACCCCTTATTCCCAGGTTGTCCTTGTCTTCAGCTTACACCTCTTCAACTGACTCCTTTCCTCTCTCTTACCTCCAATCACTTTTTCTTTTGAGGTTCTTCTTCACAAGCATCACTCCTCTTCCTGTGTGAATATGCAACAAGGCTGAGAGTGGAAACTAAGGCTCCCCTTATTTTTGTTCACCCCAAAGACAAACATACATATTTTCTTGTTTCAAGAGATTTAACAGATGTTATAAAAGCAAAAAACTAGAAGTGAAAAGTTACAGAGGTTGCGGAATTTTGCAGGTAAATTCCACACAAACTTGATTCATGATTTATATTTTCTGAATACCTGGACCATTCCTCCATGGCTTACAGAAAGAAATTGTAGGAGCTATTTGACCTCGTTTCAGATTATTTTCAGTATAGAGTCCCCCACATGGTGATGAACAAATACTCAAATGTTAGTTACTAGTTTTCTAAAATTTCTAACATGTAGTAAATGATAGCTAGCATTTGTGTCTGTGTTCTCCATGTTGAGAATATATACTTATACACTCAACAATAGCAACTATTCCATTCTGTGTTATGTATTTCAATTTCAAAAATGTCTTAATTCTGAGAGTAGAGAGCCTTTATCCCAGAATATCATCCCCGTTCCTATCCCCAACTTTTTTTTTTTAACCAAAAACAACAAACGTTTCAGAAACTTTTGTGTCTGAAGAACTCATACATAACATTGATGGCTCTAGGGCAAAAGCAAAACAAAAGGAAAGAAGAAAGATATAAGAAGTTGAAGGGTGGAGGAATGGAGAATAAGGCTAAGTGAGAGTAAAAAAGGAAAGGGTGGGTGGCTGTGTTGGCTTATGGCTGTAATCCCAGCACTTTAGCAGGCCAAGATGGGAGGATTCCTTGAGCCCAGGAGTTTAAGAACAGGCTGGGCAACATGGTGAAACCCTTTCTCTATTAAAAAAAATAGAAAAATTGCCTGGGCGTGGTGGCATGCACCTGTAGTCCCAGCTATTTAGGAGGCTGAATATCAGAAAAGTGTTTGGGAAGTTCAGGAAACCAAAAGGAAACTGATAGAGCTATGAGGCCAAAATTATTTAAACAAATGAACAAAAAGAATATGTATATGCATGTGTAATTGTGATTCTACATACATACACACATATATATACAATATGTAGTAATTATTTAGCTGAGTCCTGCCTTTTATAATGCATTGAAGAAAATATGTGAAGGCCACAGACAATTTGGATAGAACAGAGATCAATATTTTTTAAGAAGAAATATCATTTGGGAAGTCTGAATTTTAGTCAGAAATTCATTGTTGTTGCTATTACTACCATTAGTATTCTGTTACTACTATAACTTCAATAATCACCTTTGGTAAAATAAGATATAAGTGAGATAAAATCATCTTCAAAGGAGATATAAATATGTAAGTTGTAAGGTTAAAATATTTTCCCAGGACCAACATTCAGTCTGTGAAACAGATTCCCTCAAACATCTTAAGAGTTTTAAGTTTATTTTTTCACTATTCTTATGGAGAAAATATGGGAAAGTCTAAAAGGTTAAGGAGAAGTTTCAGAAAGTTTATGAATATAAAAGAGTTTTTAAGTCAAGATAAAGAAATCAAGTTTGCAGTTTATAATTCTCTAATTTGCACGTAAATTTTAAAATCACAGATGAATCTTGGCAAACTCCGTTTGAGTTTTGCCAAATTCTAAATAATTTAAAAATAAATCCAAATCTTTGTATGATTCTCATAATGGAGAGGCATTTACCTGTCTGAGATTTCCAAAGCAAATTGAGTTACAACTTCGACGAGAACATCCAGTCATAGATATACCTTGAAAACCAGATTCAAAAGTTTGAGCCAGAGGTGTGGAATCAGGACTTAAGAACCAGAGACAGTCAAACTGAGCCATAAAATACAGCAATAATTGACAAATGCAATCTAATTTAACTAAAGAGCTTCTGCACAGCAAAAGAAACTAGCATTAGAGTGAACAGGCAACCAACAGAATGGGAGAAAAATTTTTCCAATCTCTCCACCTGACAAAGGGCTAATACCCAGAATCTACAAAGAACTTAAACAAATTTACAAGGAAAAAAATAAATAAACAACAATCCCATCAAAAAGTGGGCAAAGGACATGAACAGACACTTCTCAAAGGAAGACATTTATGCGACCAACAAACATGTGAAAAAAAGCTCATCATCACTGGTCATTAGAGAAATGCAAATCAAAACCACAATGAGATACCATCTCACACCAGTTAGAATGGCAGTCATTA